CTCGGCTCACCGCAACCTCCGCCTCCTGGGTTCAGGCAATTCTCCTGCCTCAGCCTCCTGAGTAGCTGGGATTACAGGCACGCACCACCATGCCCAGCTCATTTTTTGTAGTTTTTTTTTAGTAGAGATGGGGTTTCACCGTGTTGACCAGGATGGTCTCGATCGCTTGACCTCGTGATCCACCCGCCTCGGCCTCCCAAAGTGCTGGGATTACAGGCGTGAGCCACCGCCCGGCTCTTTTCTTTAAAACCATTGTACTTTGTCACTTGTATCCTAGCTCATCTAGATGATGAATATCACGTGTTATGTTGAATATAATATCTAACATATCTATAGAGAAAACACTGTATTTAGTTTCTATTTGTACTTTTTTTTTTTTTTTTTTTATACATATTCGCTCTGTCGCCCAGGCTGGGTACAGTGCTTGGATCTCGGCTAATTGCAACCTCCGCCTTCCGGGTTCAAGCGATTTTCTTGCCTCAGCCTCCTGAGTAGCTGGGATTGAAGCCCGGTGACACTACACCTGCCTAATTCTTTTTGTATATTTAATAGAGAAGGGGTTTCACCATGTTGGGAAATTTGGTCTCGAACTTCTGATTTTAGGGGATACGCCCGCCTCGGCCTCCCCAAAGTGCCGGAATTACATACGTGAGCCACCGCACCCGGCCGAGTAAAATTAAACTTCAATAGTAAGAAATTTTCCTGGATCCAATGACCGCCCTACTTTGACTTCTCAGAGAGGTGCTGTTTCCCGGACTGCTGGCCTGCTCCAGCTCCATTGCCGGGTTTCCCCTCAAAAACCCGGAAAAAAGGCGCCAAGAGCCAGAAGGAGGGAAGCTCAGGCCCCGCCCCCTGTCTGGCCCCGGGGCCCCTCACAGCCAAGCCCTTCCTCCCCCCGCGCCCCGCCCCCGGCGTCTCTCAGGCCACGCCCACATCCTCGGGGCCCGCCCAGGCCTGGCTTCTGTCCTGCGCTGATTGGCACAACCCCGGAAGCAGATGGCGTGGACCGACGGCTACCACGCAAGGGTCAGTTTTGCTCTGGTTGTTTTGTCTGCGCTTCCCAGGCCTCCGGTGCTTGTAGACCGGACGCGGGGTCTCCACAGACCTAGAAATTCCGGCCCCTCTTTCTCAACCCGGAACAAATTGAGACGTCCAGGTGAGAGTGCGTGAATCGCTGCCTTTTGAGTTTAAAGTTGCCCTGAGGCAGGCCCCCCCCCCGCCCGGTCTTTCTTCAGTGGGGCGGTGCAGACACCTCCTGTCGCGGAAGTTTCCTGCTCAAACCTTTCCTGTCCCCTCCTCCTGCTTTGCACAGTTTCAGGTCCTCAGCCACTTGCTGGATTCCCGTCCTGGGCGCCTCCCAGCCTCGCTCTCGTCGGTCCCTGTAGCGCAGCGCCGCGGTCGCAGTCCCGGGGAGGCGCGTTGTCTGCTTGGTCCTGGAAACCTGCAGACCCCATCTCTGTCCCAAAGCCCTGTGGCCCCCCCCAACTCCCTCCTAGTGCTGGGCCCTGCTGCTCCCCAGTTCCACCCCCTGGAAAACGTGCTCTTCCTGAAGGCAGCCCTCTTATCCCATCCTCGCCCTGTTTTACTGGAAGGCAGCCTTCAGTGTGAGATGTCCAAGTTCTTGGGTGTTGAACATGGAATTGAAAAAAAAAAAGCCGGGCGCGGTGGCTCACGTCTGTAATCCCACCACTTTAGGAGGCTGAGGTGGATAGATCACCTAAGGTCAGGAGTTCAAGACCAGTCTGGCCATCATGGTGAAACCCCATCTTTAAAAAAAAAAAAAAAAAAAACCCTCATGAAATAAAAGAAGAAAGCCGCGAAAGCAGGAATTTATTCAATCATGAAAGCACTTCACAGAATGGGAGTGGGCCCGAGTAAGCGCCTCCAGGGCTCCGTTTACCAAAGTTTTGGGGTGTTAAAGTCTTTCTTTTGAAATCTGGAAGAAAGATTTGGTCCTTGGCCAATGAAAAGCTGAGGTGAACTGGTCCGAGGCCAGAGCAGATGGGTGCCCTATGCAGAAGGGGTGGCCGGTGGTTGGCTGCACCGTGGCCACTCCTGGGCTCTTTACTTTTCCATCTGAGATGTGGTGGAAGGGGGAGGGCTGTAGGGAGAGTAGCCTTTTTTCCTTTGTTACTCCATGTGGGGAAATGAGGTTTTTCCATTTGGTCTAGTTTTGGAAAGTTCCCGTTAATTGGCCTTAAATTCCCTGCCCCCAGATCCAGGACCCAGGTAATTTCTCTCTCTTTTTTTTTTTTTTTTTTTTTTGGAGATGAGTCTCACTCTGTTACCCAAGCAGGAGAGTGGTGACAGGATCACAGCTCAGTGCAGCCTCCACCTCCTGGGATCAAGGGATCCTCCCACCTCAGCCTTCGGAGTAGCTGCAACCACAAATGGGCGCCACCACACCATGCTAATTTTTGTGTTCTTGAAGAGAAGGGCTTTCGCCATGTTGCCCAGGCTGGTCTCCAACTCCGGGGCTAAATTATCCAGCCACAGTAGCCTCACAGTGTGCAGGGATTACAGGCATGAGCCACCACACCCAGCCTTTTTTTCCTTTTCTTTGAGATGGAGTCTCACTCTGTCACACTTCTATCACATGCTTGAGTGCAACCTCTGCCTCCCAGGTTCGAGAGATTCTCCTGCCTCAGCCTCCTGAGTAGCTGCAATTACAGTCAAATTCCAAAATTCTTTTAGACTGTGAGAGAAAAATGTTTCAAGACCTTGTCCCTTTGGGTCGATCTGTGCCCCCAGGACCTCCCTGACCTCATCACCTACCTGTGCCCTCCTCTCTCCCACTGCTCCAGCCACACGGGTGCTGTCCTTTTCTTGGGGCTGAGGTTGCCCCTGTCTCAGGGCCTTCACTTGAGCTGTCCCTCTGCCTAGGACTCTGGCCCCTCAGCTGCAAATGACAAGCAGCCTTTCTTCCCTAGGTCTTTGTTCTGATATCACCTTCTCCGTAAAAACCTTTGTGATCTGGCCGGGCGCGGTGGCTCACGCCTATAATCCCAGCACTTTGGGAGGCTGAGATGGGTGGATCACAAGGTCAAGAGATCGAGACCATCCTGTTCAACATGGTGAAACCCTGTCTCTACTAAAAATACAAAAATTAGCTGGGCATGGTGGCGCACGCCTGTAGTCCCAGCTACTTGGGAGGCTGAGGCAGGAGAATTGCTTGAACCCAGGAGGCAGAGGTTGCGGTGAGCCGAGATCATGCCATTGCACTCCAGCCTGGGTAACAAGAGCAAAAACTCCGTCTCAAAAAAAAAAAAACCTTTGCGATCTCCCACAGCCCCCAATTTGTCATTGCAGCTGTGAACCCAGAAAATCTCAGACAGATCTCACTTACTTTAGAAAGCTTCTTCTGCCAAGGTTGGTGACGCACCCATGACACAGCCTCAGGAAGTCCTGGCAACATGTGCCCAAGGTGGTGGTGGCACAGCTTAATTTTATACGTTTTAGAGAGACATGAGACATCAGTCAATATACGGAAGAGGTTCATTGGTTTGGGCTGGAAAGGCGGGACAACTTGAAGGAAAAGCAGGAAGACTTGAAGCAGGAGGGGGCTTCCAGGTCACAGATAAGTGACACACAAATACCTAGTAATCTGTGTATGGCACCAAGTGACAAGGCTCTGTGTCCTCCGTTTCTGAGGGCTGAGCTCAGCCTGTGATCCACAGAGAGGGGAGGGGCTGTGCTGCTCTGGATGAGGTTTGGTCAAGGCTGGGTGTGTGCCCTGAAGGTAAGCTCAGTCCAGCCCAGCTCCCCACTGCTGCCTGGTGTGTGGGGCTTCTCCAGGAGGGGAGTCAGATCTCAAGACCGGGCTCAAACACACTTGTAGGTGTTCCTGTGGGACTGTCTTCTCTCTGCGTGATCTCTGGTGCAGTGGGCAGCAGAGGCCCATCTTTCTACAGCGTGAGATCTCCCCCTTGTGTGTGTTTTTGTCACAGGAACAGAGTGAGTCATTTGTAACATAAAGTCTACTGTATTTTTCATGTACAGGATTGATTTCTAAAGACTTATGTTACATGAGGAAGCAGCTCAGAAAAGGAAAGAAAAGGAGCCAGGCATGGCTTTTCCTCAGGTAAAGTGACACTCCTCGGTGGATTCATCTGTCTCTTTCCTTTCTGAAATGCCAGGTATTGTGGTAGCCAGTCTGTTCTGAGTTTGAAACGTCCTGCCTGACACGTTGGTTCGCACTCACCCATGCCTTCCCTCAGTTCCTGTCATCTACTCTGAGATTCCATTTCCTGTGACCCAGTGACAGGAACTCGGGAAGAGGCTCCACTGGGCATGGTCATGGGAAGGGCTGACACCAGACCTGGATGGACACGGGGTGTGGGCCTTGTGGTGTCAGTGCTGCTGGGCAGCCTGGATTGTTCAGGAGCCACATCCGGATATCAGCTCTTTGTAATCAGATCAGAGAAACTACATATGAAACACATAAGGTTAATGTTCACAGATACCTGGTAAATTCTGGAAAAGGAGACCAATAAGGGGAGCTATTTTGTTACTGATTTGGTAATGCATTGGAAGCCACACTAGATCAACACGTCTCTGACTCCAAACTTTATTTTCTCATGTTTTAAGAGACAGCTTGTTAGTTCGAGTGCGGTGGCTCAAGCATGTAATCCCAGCAGCTTGGGAGGCCAAGGTGGGTGGATCACTTGGACTCAGGAGTTCAAGACTAGCCTGGCCAACGTGGTGAAACCCCATCTCTACTAAAAATACAAAAATTAACAGGGTGTGGTGGCACACACCTACAGTAATCTCAGGTACTCAGGAGGCTGAGGCAGGAGGATCACTTGAACATGGGACGTGGAGGTTACAGCAAACGGACATTGTTCCATTGCACTCCTGCCTGGGCGACACAGTGAGACTTCGTCTGAAAGAAAATAAAAAGAGAGAGAGGGACGGTTTCGCTCCGTGGCTTAGGTGTGGAGCACACTGGCACAATTCACAGTTTATAGCAGCCTTGCCTGCTGGGCTCGAGTGATTCCTACTTTGTCCTCCCAAAGAGCTAGAATGATAGACGTGTGTCACTACACGTGGCCAATGTTTACATTGTAGTCTTTCTCTGTCACCCAAGCTGGAGTGCAGTGGTGCAGTCTCGGCTCACTTCAACTTCCGTCTTTTGGGTTCAAGTGATTCTTCTGCCTCAGCCTGCTGAGTAGATGGGACTATAGGCATGTGCCACCACATTGGCTTACTTTTGTATTTATAGGAAAGACCAGATTTCACCATGTTGGCCAGGCTTATCTTGAACTCCCGATGTCGTGATCCGCCTTGGTCTCCCAAAGTGCTGGGATTACATGTGTGAGCCACTGTGCCTGGCCTTGCTGTTTTTTTGTTTTTTTTTTGAGACGGTGTCTCACTCTGTGACCCAGGTAGGAGTGCAGTTGTGCAATCTCAGCTTACTTCAGCCACCGTGTCCTGAGTTCAAGTGATTCTCCTGCCTAAGCCTCCTGTGTAGCTGGGATTACAGGTGCCTGCCACCACACCTGGCTAATTTTTATACTTTTTTTAGAGACAAGAGTTTCACCAGGTTGGCCAGACCGATCTCCAACTTTTGACCTCAAATGATCTGCCCACCTTTGCCTTCCAATGTGCTGTGATAGCAGGCATGGGCCACCACGCCCGGCCCAGTGTTTTCTTCTTATTTGTATATTTCTCATATTGTCCATAAAATCAAGACTTCCACAGTGACTTAGGGGATCTTAAAATGCTTCATGAAAAAGTGCAATAAAGCTTAAAATTCTCAGATACTGTTATCAGTTAAAAAAGGAGGGGGCAGTAAAATGCAACTATAGAGAAAAAATGTTCAAAAATACCTTACACTACTTATGTTTGTTAGAACACAGTCTTTGATGAAATGGATACTTAATTTCTCTTTTCTCACTTAGTATGAAGGTAATAACTCAGTCCTCCATAATTTTTCATTTTAGGGACGCTTGACTTTCAGGGATGTGGCTATAGAATTCTCTTTGGCAGAGTGGAAATGCCTGACCCCTGCTCAGAGGGCTTTATACAGGGAAGTGATGTTGGAGAACTACAGGAACCTGGAGTCTGTGGGTGAGGAAAATGTCCCTCCAGACATGAGGAATCTGCCCTTGTCTATCTTGGCTTTTTCTGCTTTTGTATTCTCTGCTGTGATTTTGCTCTATACAGGCTCTTTTTTTTTTTTTTTTTTTTTTTTTTTTTGTTTTTTTTTTTTTTTTTTTTTTTTTTTTTTTTTTTTTTTTTTTTTTTTTTTTTTTTTTTTTTTTTTTTTTTTTTTTTTGAGATGGAGTTTTCCTCTTGTTGTCCAGGCTGGAGTGCAATGGTGCGATCTTGGCTCACCACAACCTCAGCCTTTCTGTTTCACGTGATTCTCCTGCCTCAGCCTCCTAAGTAGCTGAGATTACAGGGATGTAATACCAGACCCAGCTAATTTTTGTATTTTCAGCATACACGGGATTTCACCATGTTGGCCAGGCTGGTCTCAAACTCCGCCTCACCCTCCCAAAGGGCTGGGATTACAAGCATGAGCCATTGTGCCCGGCCTTGCTCAGTTCTCACAAACACATCTCTACCTACTCAGCGGGGAATTATTCTTCACCCCCCTAGTGCCCTACACTGCTGTCCTTTATTTCATGGAGTTTACTTGTTTTTTTCTTGTTTGTACACAATTCTGGAATCTATACAGGGATTTTGTTGAGTATGTGCTTAAAACTGAAACCAGAGGCCGTTTAAGAGGTGTAAAACTGCCTTCACCTCAGGTCACTACTGCTGCTGTTTCGGCTCTCCTTCTTTCTTGTCCCCTGCCCATATTGTAATTTGTACATTTAACCTTGGGTCAGTATTTTATCATTTGCTAAATTAGTTCCACTTTCCTCCAATCTCAAAATTTGGTCTATACTGGTGGGATTATATTCCCACAGACGAGCGTGCACACAGTTGACTCCTGCATGCCCATTACTTCTGCCCTCCACCCTTGCCCTTCCTTTCCTGGCCTTGCCTCACATGCTACATTGATCCAGATGCAAAATGTTGCTGCTTTCCAGCCTGTTGATTTGTAAGGCTGAATACCCCAATTTCCACATGAGCTCCTCCCCTCCAGCATGACTCTCACTGACTAAGTCAGGACCTTATACATCCACTGGATGTAATTATAGGAGGCTGCCTAAATCAGTGTGTGCAGGGCATGATGACTCAGCACGTTCTCCATGAGGGATGGCTCAGCATCACTGTCAGTGGCACAGCTCTGCCCTTGTATCACCCTTGATGTATTTCTTCCTGTCTCCTTGTATTTTCTGTGACTGGTCATTTTCTGTACTGCCTGGGTGACTATTGTGCTTAAGAACATGTCGTGGGACCCTTCAGGTTCAGGATCAAGTTTTGTCCCTCACTTATTGAACATGACAATTGGGGTCAAGTACATCAATACTGTGGGGCTACTGTTCTTGTTTGAGAAGTAATGTTACTTTCATGCAATTCTCATACCTCAGGCTCCCAAGTAGCTGGGAGTACAGACATGCGCCTCCACTCCCAGCTAATACTGTATTTTTAGTACAGATGAGGTTTCTCCATGTTGGTCAGCCTGGTTTGGAATTCCTGACCTCAGGTGATCCACCCACCCTCGGCCTTTAAAGGTGGGATTACAGGCGTGAGCCACCACGCCCAGCTGCCTCTAGGTTTTAAAAACATGTTAATTAGATGGCTTCACATACTGCAAGTTTTTTTTTTTGTTTTTTTTTTTTTT